CCCCCCCCCCCCAAACTCAACTCCCAACCGATGTGGGACTTTGGCATTTTGCCAAACTTCAACAATGGAAATAGCCACTTGCAGAAAATGTAGAGTAAGGTTGCATACAAATAGACGACTTTTATGGTCTGGCTCTTCCTCGAACCCTGCGCATAACGGGAGTTTAGTGTTGTGGACAGGGGCAAAGCTAGCATAGCACTTGTGGGTTCGGCCGAACCCATTAACTTTCATCCAAAACCTGTATTTGTGTTAAAAAATTTATTGAATGTATAAATTGTTAATTTAGAATCCAGTAACATAAACGAACTAGAATCCCGAACCCACAAGCTTCAAATTCTGTCTCTGTCTTGTGGATTGCCTTTTTGCCTCTTTTTTTGTTTTCTTACTTGGTTAGTAATCTCCTACTATCATTTTGCAGTTGCTGAAATTACTGAAAGCATCTTTGGAGTCGAAAACAGTTTTGACAAGTGTTTTTATGAACCGCGTAAAAGTGGAGAAAAAATAGTCATATACTAAGACATAATCTAATTGGATGTTTCAGTTTAGTACTTGTAGTTTTAGTGGTTTTCTTTTGTTGAGTTGATTCTGATTTCTATAGGTTCAGCAAATAGTCGATTTCTACATCTAACTTTTGTCTGGGTACTTTGAGATATATTCTTCTTTAGATGAAAAAAATACAAAGATTATCTCTTATTATAATCTCATCTTTCATCTTGTATTAGAGTATCTAGAGATCTTCTCAAGCTTGTTATCTGTAGCCATCTCCCACATTATAAACAACACAAATTATTTCAAGAGTATGCTATTAAGGTGGAAGTAGAGATGTCAATTTGAGCCCAAATTAAACCCATTTGACCCGTCCAACTTGTTCAAGGTTGGTCTGGTTAATTGACCCGCGCATTTATTAAACTCAATTCATCTTGACCCAACTCATTTCAACTCATTTAAAGTTGGGTTAATTTTTAGCCCAAATTGATCCATGAGTAACTTTGCTAAAATATCTTTAAAATATTTTTTTATTTGATATGTTATATATGACCATAACAAAAGAAAAAATGTCGTATTTGATAATTAAGTAACTTGTAAGAAAATAATACACGGAGGTTTACATCTTACCCGATTTTGGGGTCACAATTGAACTTATACACACTTTGCAATAAAAATTACAAGCCTACCCACTTTATGATCAACTTCAATGGATTTGAAGTTAAAAAAAAATAGTCTGAAGTGAAAAAATTGCACTTCCGATGCACTTACGGTCAAATCGGTCTGAAGTGCAACCAACGGTTTCATGCACTTAAGGTCAATAAGTCTGAAGTGAAAAATTACACTTCAAATGCACTTAAGGCCAAAAGGTCTGAAGTGCAACAAACGTTTTCCTACACTTGGCCAATAAGTCTGAAGTGAAAAATTACACTTCAAATGCACTTAAGGCCAAAAGGTCTGAAGTGCAACAAACGTTTTCCTACACTTGGCCAATAAGTCTGAAGTGAAAATTGCACCTCAGATGCACTTAAGGCCAAAAGGTTTGAAGTGCAACCAACTTTTCATGTACTTAAGGCCAAATAGGCCTGAAGTGCAAATTGCCTAGAAACAGAAATTTTTTTCTTCGAATTTTAACCATCCAATATATGATTTAATACCTAAATCTACTCCAAATGAGCTTAAATTTGAAATATAACATCCAAATATTATCAAGAACAAATCTCAATCATCAATTTTTCAAAACAATAATAAATCTAGCCAACCCATTTTGCAATTAAGAAAAAGAAAAAGAAGGAACCCTAACCAATTGTAAAAATAAAGCGCCACAATAGCTCACCACTATAAAACATCATAAACTACTTTAAAATATGTTCACAAACACTTTATAAAATTATTGTTACCCGAAGAAAAAGAAGAAGAAAGAGGAGAAAAGGCCTGAAGTTGTTTAAATGGTGGGTACAAATCAAAAAAATTTAAAAAGTGGGTACATGTGAAATGGGGGTGACCAAATAGGGCGTCCCGTGCAATTTTTACCAATACATATTAATTAAAGTTTGGTAAGAGTTGGACGGGGCATTTGCATCTATACCCGCTTTTTGTGCCACATTTTAACCTGTGCCCGCTTTGCAAAAAAAATTGTAAGCGTACCCGCTTTTTCACATAACTTCAGCACACGGGGCTGAAGTAGCAAAGGCAATCACACAAAACTTTAGCATTTTAGTAGCCTTTGTTTTGTAACTCGCGAACTTCAGCTCTAGAGGTGAAGTTTTATTTTATAGGTTTTTGTTTAGTAACCGGGAAAAGCTGAAGTTTGCCAGTTATAAAATAAAAACTTCAGCTCTAGAGCTGAAGTTTTTTGCACATAGGGATTTGCCTTCCTTTTTTTGATTTTTCTTTTTCCCTCACCTTTATGTATGCCCTGCAATATCTAGTCTAATATGCAAACACTGTAAAGTTCCTCCCCAGTTCATATTTCGAAAAAATAAGCTACGTACTCTTTATATTAATGTATGAAAATGTACTGTATTTCCGTGCTTAAGTTAATCCATTGATAATTTAAATAGATGTGCAGTTGAAACAACACGTAAATTCAAGTGGTCATAAAATAACAGAGGCTTTGATGAGTTTAAGAAGTAAAAATCGTTACAGGTATGGATTCGATGGAATCAGATTGTAGAAGAAGAAAAAAGAAAATGAAGGAGGAGAAGAGGAGGAGAAAGGGAGCTGAAGTTTTTTAAGAAGTGAGTACAAGTTAAAAAATTTAAAAAAAATTGGTATAGGTTAAATAGGGGCGACCAAATAGGACCGATCCAAATTTGGTGCAATTTCTACGAGTTGAACTATGATTCAAATTTGAGCTCAACTTAACTAAGCCCATTTTGACCGATCCAAAATTTAACCAACCCGCTCATTTAACACCTAGGGAAAAAGACAAGTTGAGCTACTATTGGACTGTAATTCAACAAACGGTACATAGTAGGTAGTCAAAGGAAATTAATGAGGAGCACATGAGCAATGAAGCAGCGGTCTCTCCTCCATTATGTCGTACTACTAAAGCTAAAGCCATTAATGTCTGAAATGGAGAGGTCTGTCTTCTAATATTAAAAGATCTAATTTTCCAATTTCACTGACTGTTCGCTGCATGTGGTGTGGTTTCACTCATTTACTGTTAGAGCACTTGTCTCCATATTTATTTTGCTATATATGATACTGTCTCTTGCAAGTGTATCGATCTGCTTCCCTTTTATTGCCATTATTATGTATTAGATATTGATCTTAAATAATTTAGTAGGTGTTTGGACATAAATTTAGCTAAAACTTAAAGAAAAAAAAAGTTGTTATTTCATGTTCTATTTTCCATCGTCTAAGTTTCCCTTATATGCATTTATTTGTAGTGATTGTTGCATGCAATTCTTTCCATCATTGAGTTATTCTCATGCATTTAATCGTAGTTGCTATTTCATGCTACCTCTTTTATTGTTAAGCTTATGTTGTGCATTATGTTGAGAAATAATTTTTGAAAGTTTATATTGTGTTTGAACATATATTTTACTTGAAAAAAATTAAAGTTTGTGAGTGGGAGAAAAAATTTCACCTTATTTCACCATATTTACAAATATTGGGCAATCTTGAAAAACTTGTCTGAGGAAATGACTATTTTCTCACATAACTTCAGTTTTTTCTCCCAGTTAACTTCATGTCTAAATACAACTTACTCTCAGATGAAGTATTATTTTCAGCTTCAACTTTCAAATACATTTTTCTCATCTGCAACAAAATATTGTCTCTAAGCATCTGTATTTGCTGGTGTAAGAATGAAAAGATGTCTAATTTATTTATTGCCCACTTCTTTTAGGTAACATTTATTGCCCAATTGGCCAATTGTTCTCCTTTTTGTTCTAAAGGCACTCATCCAATCACCATCTCTAAAAGCAACCCGGTACACTAAGCCCCCACTATGCATACAGGGGCAGATGCAGTATGATAATTACGGGTTTAATTAAACCCATAATTTTCGACACGGGGTAAAAATTTATGTGTAAAAATTTATTAAAATTACAAAAATAATAAATATGAACCCACAACTTTAAAAATATAATAGGTTCAATGTTAAATTTGTCTAAAGTTAAACCCACGGAATTTAAATCCTGGATCCGCGTCGGAAATCCTAGATCCGTCTCAGTATGCACGGGGTCCTGGGAAGGACCGGATCACAGGGGTCTATTGTATGCAGTCTTACCCTGCATTTCTGCAAGCGACTGTTTCCACGGCTCACACTCGTGACCTCCTGGTCACATGGCAACAACTTTACCAATTACGCCAAGGCTCCTCTTCCCAATCCCTCATCCAATCCCTCATCCAATCCCTCATCTCTAAAAGGCAGTCCGGTACACTAAGCTCCCACTATGCGCGGGATCCGGAAAAAGGCCGGACCACAGGGGTTTATTGTACGCAGGCTTACTTTGTATTTCTGCAAGAGGTTAATTTCACGGCTCGAACTCGTGACCTCCTAATCACATGACAACGACTTTACGAGTTACGCCGAGGCTCTTCTTCCCAATCCCTCATCTCTCTTGCATTTATTTGAGGTTCTGCCTTCATTCTTCAACTACCATTCCGCAACTTAATGATTCACTGGCAGTTACAATTTTTTTGTATTCCAAATATTTATGCTTCTACATTTAATGCCTCTCACCGGCCAATAGGCAAATAGTTCCTTACTCACATCAAAATTCAAGATTTATTACTAAAAATAATTGTTACCTTTAGCCACAGAACTTCAAAGGGCTCTATTTATATCCAAATTTACAGCTTCTAATAAACACTCAAAAATAGTCCTCTCTTTGTATTCCTCTATTCCAACTTATTTGCTCCCCATTTTCATCCCAAGAAATCACATCAGCAATGGCCAAGATTGTTGCAGTTTTCCTTTTGGCCCTTTTTGCCATGTCCATTCTTGCTACAACAGTTCTGGCTACAAATGGCAAACACCACCATTCTGTAAGTACAGTATTATTTTGACTGAATTTTCCTACTTTCTGTAAATATTTGCACTTTATTACTATAGTTACTAAAGTGGTATTTTTTTTATTTGTGACAAATTGTTATTTGCAATTTCAGAAAAAGTATGGACCAGGGAGCTTGAACCCCTCACGTAAGTATTTCCTCTTTTATTTCCGTTTGAAGTACTAGAATCAAAACATCTAATGTTTATATTTAATCACCAAAATATACATGAGAATTCTTGATTATGTTTGTATTTTTTGTATTGTACCAGAATGCCTACCACAATGTACGAGGAGATGTAGCAAGACACAGTACCACAAACCATGCATGTTCTTCTGCCAAAAATGTTGCAACAAGTGTTTGTGTGTTCCACCTGGTTTCTATGGTAACAAAAGTGTTTGCCCCTGCTACAACAACTGGAAAACCAAGGAAGGAGGACCAAAATGCCCTTGATTTTCTACTACTTTCTTGTTTCTCACTATTTTCTGCATCTGTCTTTAATTTGTGTACCTAATCTTGTTATTTTGTCTGCTCTCCCATTGTATTTTTGTCAAATGACAAAGTCCTTTCTGTCCTCCTCGGATAGGGGTAAGGTCTGCGCATACACTATCCTACCCCAAATCCTACTTGTAGGAATTCACTAGTTTTTTTGTTGTTGTAACAAAAGATCAATATGTTCTTAAATCTTAATTTCCAGCTGGAATTCTAGTTGTGTTGTAGTGCTCCTATAGTTTGGTGTGGCCCTATATGAGAGCTTTCTGTTCCAATTATGTTGGTATTACTATTGTTGTGTTTTCTTTTTTCTGCAGTAATAAAATTATGTAGATTTTGCATTAAAATCCTTTGAGCTTGCCCTTTTCAAAAGCATCAATATTAAAGAAACATGGGATTTAAATGTTCTGTAGGTGAGTTATTAATAACAAAAAGAGTTCAATTTTTATACAATATAATCCACAGTGCAATATTCTTAATAAAATTAAATTAGTAACCTAACCAAATGTGACAACAACCTACTACAACTTGTTAAAATACACTAATATTATAATATTGTTTACGTTGCGCCGTTGCCTAAGTGTATAAGTTAAATCCAACAAAATACTAATCGAGCGTAGAAAAAAAAACAATGTTCTATAGGTAGTCTAATTAGATAATCCAATTAATTTTCTTTTTTAATATCAAAAAGGAGTAGAATTAATCGAGGTACGCGCAAGTTGACCCGGACACCACGGTTATAAAAAAAAAATCAAAAAGAAGTAAAGAGTATGAGCATACCTTACTTGCCTAGAACAAATGTACCCATTTATAAATAGATTGCCTAATATTTTAGCTCCACCATCTTTATACCAATTACGAGAGATCTATTCTAAAACCATGTTTAGCATTCAAAAGATAATAAGGATTTAGACATAAACACGTCCAATTTAATTCTAAGGTTCTGAACGAGCGCAATTGCTATTTTCTCAAGCTCGGCAAGAAAGGAGGGGAATAAGAATAAAAGAAGCCGCCACCAAAGAATGTGGTGCAGCAGATGGGCTGTTCTTCCCTTAATTAAAGGTCTCGAGTTCGCGTTCTGGATATGGAAAAATACTTGGTAGGGAACGCTCCCCTCGAATGGGGACCTACGGGGTGCAAATTCGGATATAATCGAGCTCCAATGCAGGTACCGGACACTGAGTGGAAAACCCAAAAAAAAACAAGAATAAAAGAAGCCGAAGATAAGGAAGCTAAAGAGCAATAGGATGATTAAACGACGCTGAGAGTCATTTATGTAGTTTATGAGGTGTGAATGAAGGCAGGAGTCCATTGAAACATCGGTATTATTTTCCTTCTTTCTTTTTTGGAAATGAAGAAGGTGGTCGGGTCAGTTTCCGTGTTTCTCAATTTAACATCGGAAATACTAAGCAATTTTGCCCACCAAGATTTTAAGTAATTCTGTCCACCAAGACTTAAATTTCGTTAAATTGATCGAAAGGATCACCTAGTGTTGTCTCTGATCTAGATCTGAACGTTATTTTACAAGATTGTTATTCCAACTCTTCAACTGCTTTAGGCCACTCCCCTCGGGACCAACAAGAGTTACTCTTAATGGTGTGAGGTCTTTTGGGGAAAATCAAACAGACTTACTTAAATCAGACAATATCATACCATATTAAGAGTATTTTTGGGTTGTTTTAGCCCAACTGTGTGTGTCTCGCATTAACACCAGAAACACTAAGCAATTCTGCCCAACAACACTTATGTTGATCGAAAAAATTCACCTAGTGTTATCTCTGTTTTACTGCTTTAAGCCACTCCCTTTGGGGAACAACAAGAGATACTCTAAAGGATATGAGATCTTTGGGGAAAAATTGTGCGGACTTGATCTAAATCGAACTATATCACATTATATTAAAAGTATCTTTATGTTGTTCTAGCCCAATATTTGAGGACGTAGAATTGCGGGGCATTTGCATCTATACCCGCTTTTAATGTCACATTTTAACTTGTGCCCGCTTTGCAAAAAAAAATTACAAACGTACCCACTTTTTCGCATAACTTCAGCACACGGGGCTGAAGTAGCAAAGACAATCACGCAAAACTTCAGCATTCTAGTAGTCGGGCCTGAAGTTCAGCTCTAGAGCTGAACTTTTTGTTTTGTAACTGGTGAGAGCTGAAGTTTCTATGTTGTGACTGGGAAACTTCAGCTCTAGGGCTAAAGTTTCTGTGTTGTGACTGCTAGAGCTGAAGTTTCTGTGTTGTGACTGGGAAACTTCAGCTCTAGAGCTGAAGCTTGGATAAAATTAACTCTTATATGAAGCCGTTAGATTTGCTCCACTCCATTGATCCAATTGATGAAGCCTTCACCAGCTATTAGCATTCAACCATTTCTTATTGTTGTATTGACAATGCAATTAACTATTTGTAAATCAAGTGCATTATTTCTCTGTTTCGTTGTTTTCACGTCAACGACTAAACAATATTAACCAGAAAATAAGCGCTATGTTTTACACAGAAATTGTATAATGATCGTGTTGGCTACCCAATCCTTTTTCACAATATTCTGTACTTTGATTTTGTTTAGATAACTTTACTGAAGTTTTATAGAGTAATATGGTATCTGATCAGAGATAACTCCTTGTTGGCATCTAACTGTGATGAGATGGAGTTCCTTTCTTTCAATTTGCTTGTTTGCATATTTCAGCTATTTATTTTAGAAGAAGAAGAAAACGAAGGAGGAAAAGAAGGAAAAGGGGACTGAAGTTATTTAAGAATTTGATACAAGTTAAAAGTTTTAAAAAAAATGAATATAGGTTAAATGGAAGCGACCAAATACGGCGCCCCGTGCAATTTTTACTAGAATTGCCTAACACCTTCGGTTTCCCTGTTGGAAATGACAAAGGAGGCAGCCTTTTCCTTCTTTGTTCCGGTTGCGTTCTTGTTTGTCTACACCTTTTGTGAATGGGGTCTGATCCTCTCCTTACTAATCTTTTGTTGTGAAAATAACACGGCATTGTTTTTTTGTTTCATTGTATTTCAATATATTTCGCTATATTCCATGTATTTCATTGTATTCACTGTCTCGTTGTATTTCATGAATGTATTAATATATTTTTTTTAATTAATATAATTTATGTATTCAGATGTATATATGTATTCAAATTTCTCTATTTTTGTTGTATTTATCGGTTGAGAAAAATATTCAGCAATATTTTTCTCTGAAGAATGCTATATTTTTGGGGTGTTTTTCGGTTGAGAATCTTTTTTATAATTGAAAATACAAATTTTGTGTGTTATAATTGAGTTTGTTGAGTTATTTCTACACATTTAGTTGCCCTCCTTCACCGGTGCTTTTGCATTATTTCTACACCATAAACAGAAACTAATGAGGCTGCGTACGGATGGAAAGTTTTTAAAGGTGTTGCCGTCTATCTGCATGCCCGTGATATCTCTGTATTCTGCTACTGCCAAAGCAACAGCCCTTCTTTCATGCTTAGCTGGCGCTCTAATGGTTTTGAATTGTGATGATACAGCAGCTTGATTTCATTGTATTTGGGTCTGCCGGATCTTTTCTTAGACCCCACTTTTGTGGAATTTTAATGGGTTGTTATTGTTGTTGTTGAGTTATATTAGAGTCTATTATGTTAATTGATTCACTTTCCGTTTAAAAACAGCTGAATAGACCATGAATTGGGCTATTTACGTTACTGTATTCACAAATACATATCGTGAATACAGTCGAATACAATAATCTGTCTAACTGTAATCCCCTGTTTCACGTCGTGAATACAGTCGAATACAAAAATTTGACTAGCTGTAATCCCCTGTTTCACACCTAGAAATGCTACTGTATTCATGAATAGAGTAGCTTAAATACATCGAATACACTCTAAAAAACCTGAAAACATAACTATAAGAAATAATATAGTAAATGATAGTTAAAACTAGCTAATAGTCGTTAAAACATTGTGGTTTCTGAAAGTTTCTCATTTTCAACCCATCAAAAACTATTACTGTTCCGTCTTATAGTACTTCATGGACGATTTAAGACTTTTTTTCATATTATTTCCTAATCTAAGAACTACTAGAAATCAAAGGATCTTACTTCCTTACAACTTCCTTACGATTAGAATGTTATAGTCCACGAGATTAAGTTTGGTCATTGCAAAAACGTTTCTTAAGTGAATTAACTACCTCTTTGCTATAATTACAACAAAAAAAAATTAAAAATAACTTCAGCTTAAGGCAAATTTTCAGCTGCAAACCTAATTTATTAATTGAGAAGTGATGAATCTGTATTCTGTACCCACTTAGTGCAATAGTAATAAGAGAAATTTTCATAAAACACTATCTTTTAGTGGTAATTAGCTATCTATAGATATCATTTACTATTACGGATTGTAGATACGTTTTCTATTGTTATAAGATGTATTAGATGTATTTAAACTATTGTATTCATGAATACAGTAACGAAAATAGGCGTGAATCAGGGGAAGTCCAGCTAATCAGTTGTTGTATTCAAGTGTAATCGACTGTATTCATGGCGTGAAACATGGGATTACAGCTGGACAGATTATTGTATTCGACTGTATTCACGGCGTGAAACAAGGGATTATACTGTTTTTAAACAACGTGAATCAATTAATATAATAGACTCCTAATATAACTCAACAAACTCAATTATAACACACAAAAATTGTATTTTCTTGTATAAAAAAGATTCTCGACCAAAAAATACCCCAAATATATAGCAATCTTCAGAGAAATTATATAATACATTTGAATACATAAACTATATTAATTAAAAAAAACATATGAATACATTCATGACATAGCAAGACAGTGAACACAATGAAATACATAGAATACAGCGGGATACCTTGAAATACAATGGAAAAAACAGTGAATATTGTGAGCACGTGATTTTTGCCTTACGAAAACTACTCCAAAATAAATCAAAAAAATAAAATAAATTTCTTTTACTGTATAATTTTTGAATTTTCATGGTGTTAAATATTTGTTTTATGACCGTAAATGTTTACTTTGTCATAATAAAATGAAAATTAA